TTGCGATAGTCCTCACATCATACCTTCTGGCATGCTTGATAGTGGTATGTGCAGTTGTAGACTAAGAGTTTGTGGTCCAAAGGTAGAGATGCAAATTAGGTAAGAAATATGCGACAAATGGTAGTGCAAATATCTTATGGCAATGCAAATTGCATATTTGCATGGTTAAGTGTGATTGGCGATCCCATAGAATAACAGTGCTTTTTTGGCCAAAAAAAGGTTATATTTTAAAATATCTTGCATATGTCTTCTCTTTATATCTAAACTTTGAAAGTTGCCTCAATACTATTTACTTTTTGTGTGAACTACAGGTACGCTATGAACTAAAATAGTGAAACCCATATTTTTCTAGGTTAATAATAATCTAAGCACATGTTTTCATGATATCTACAATCATAATGTAAAAAATTAACCCGTCAGGTTAATTATAAATTTGGCATGCCTTAGGAGTAATATAGTATCCAAACTAATGAGATAATTGGGATCATTTCAGATAAGTGTGACCTTTTTAAAAAGAAACTTTAAAGCTTGTCAACATCCTTGCTTGCATGTTTGACATAAGTTGATTATAAATTTTTGAGATAATATTTTGTATATGCTTGCATGTTTATATTATAAGACTGAAGATAAGAAAAGCAAACCTAATTTTGTATAATATTGTGTAAAAGTGTATGCATGTACTTTCATCCGTACGATATCTTTTCGAAATAAGAAAATGCACAATATTATTTGCCTGTAAGTTGCAATGAATATCCATCACACCCATGGGAAAACCAATATCAGAATTATTGGTTACTAACTAGATAAACATCTCTTTCATAAACGCTAGATTATGTGGACTTGTTTTCTCCCTGGGAGCACCTTTGCACTTCACATTGTTAATGTCGTAAGACAAATCAATGATCCGACTACGGAGAGGCATAAGGAAACCAGATGAAACTATGTGCATTGTTGAAACATTATAATAGATGTTCTAACATATTTAGAATTGATTTGTTAAAATATTTAGGAAGAATTTTAAAAACAATGGCATATGCTATGTTCTAATAATTATGTAATACTATAGATTGGCAGGAGGCAAAAAGGTTGTGGACTCGCATGATGTATTATTAGGTTGTGCATAGAGATAACTGATAAACATTACTGCTCGATGTAATTTACTCATAGGAAGCAGTCTAGCAAGGAATGATTTGTGCCTTTTGAGGGAATGATATGATGGTTAGAGCTTTTGAGATGATTTTGTTCAACCTTGGACAAGCTTTGTAGTAATGATGCTAGTTAGTTTGTTTGTAACATACTCCATCCGCTCTAATATATATATGACATCGTTGTTTTCTGTAAAATCACCATTTTAAAATTTTGACTGATAATTAAACAAAAATATGTTGTTAATGCTACACATGTAGTATCATTAGATTCAAATTTAAAAAATACTCTCATATGATATTGTTTTTGTAGTTGATAATTTATAGCAAAAGAAATTAATGTTCAAAGTTGGAGATTGTGTAAAATCATAATACACCCTCTAGTTTTAAACGAAGGGAGTATAAAAGATATAAGATCATTCATAATTTATCACATATATGGTCAGCATATTATGTGTGTCTTACGTGCGTATAAAATACATATTAGTATTCATAAAACAAGTTTAAAAACGATTGTTAATGATTCTAGTATGTGTGCATAATTCACTTCTTTGGGTGCATTTCAAAATGCAACACTTTAATTAGTATGGCAACAAACTAGATAAGAAATCAAACTTGACCAAGTTGTAGTGATAGCCATAACTTCATGAAGTACTAAACACAACTAAATCTTCTAAGCCAACAAAGAAGAGATACCTAGTCAAATTATATTCAAGGGGATTTTTAACCCCCACCCCCTCGTGTGCCGGGAATTGTGGGGATTTTTTAACACTTTAACACTTTTTTTTGCTATCTTAGTTGAATGCAAGCCCGAAGCATTGCAAACATAGCTAATAAGTAATAACCGTAGACATTGTGGTTAGAATGTGATATGGAATAGCAGGAGGTAGTGCGTGTATAGCCTCTAGGCTTTGAGTATTAGTAACCATGGACAACTTCAATAGTGAGATAACAAGAAAAGGTAAGAAGAGGTAGGGCACATGTTAACCATTAAGATACGCGTCAAATAAATCCAATGGCCCGAACTTTGATTGAAATCCTCAACATTTTGCCTGGATGTATTCAAGGACAAACCCTTGAATAAAATGTTAAGGTTTGCTGGAGATCTATATGCCCCAATTTCTAATAGTGGGTTGTCATAGAGACTTTTGTCGTACATTAGATGTTCAATAGATTTATTAGCGAAATTTTTTATCCCAAATGTTAGGACAAATTCCTAGATGATTTAACACATGAAGGGGACGACCCAACAAATATTAAATAATCTATGACATACATGTACGAGTTATTTTATCAATTTTGTGTTATTTTGTTGTCTACAATCATGGTCATTACTTAAACATCGCCGCATTGATTTCCTAGTTTTATGTTAATTTGGGTCTATTGTCCCATCCTAGTTCAAAATTTAGAGGAGTTTATTCATTGTTAGTGAAAGATCAACCTCACATTTAGTAAGGAAAATCATACACTGGTATGGCTTTGGATCGATTTGGTCAGATTGAGGGGGAATAAAATTCTCCTTCCGTTCTAGTTTACTTGTCACTCGTGTGCAAGGCAAGCTAAAATGCCTCTAGTCTATTTCATTAGCAAAATAGCAAAATAACGGTTACTACAAGATACTTCTATATGTTGTGGTGGAACTTGATGGTAGTTAAATTCAAAAACATATGCTACAAGAAGCATCTACTCCATCCGTCCCAGAATAAGATCATTTTTAGCCCCTCCCATTTATCCCAAAATAAGTTCATATTTTAGCAATTATTGCAACAGAGTTTGTAAAAGTAGGGGGAAAATACATTAGGAGTAGATAAAGTGAGGAACAACTGCATTGGAATTTGATGAAGTGAATGTATTCTAGTTTTTTTTCTTAGATATTGGTACGCGTGAGATGCGTGAAAAATAAACTTATTTTGGGACGGACAGGATATAATGAGTTTTAGAGTTGGTCACGGTTATTAAGAAAATAAGTAGAATTAAATGGTGGAAGATTGTGATTGGTTGAGAAATGAATGTAGGTGGAGAAATTGAATGGTGGAGGGTTGTGATTGGTTGAGAAGAGAATGTTGGTGGAGAAGTTGTAATATTTTGGAACAAATTCTAAAGGCTAAAAGTCGTTATATTTTGGGACATATGGAGTATTAAAGATAGGAAATGCCCTATTTAAGAAAGCTACAGATCCTAAAAAGCAATTGGTGAGTATCTAGCTGAAGCTTACGTTATCCAACTTCTGGCTTCCAGTTCATTGATTATTGATTATGCACCTTCTGACTCGTAGAATCTGAAATAAGAATCTAGACCATTTGGACAAGCTAAGGGCCTGTTTGGCACAGCTCCAGCTCTAGCTCCACTTCTCTTGGAGCTGGAGCTCAGCCAAACAATTACAGCTCCATTAAAATTGGGAGTGAAGCTGGGTGAAGCTCGCACAAAATAAACTAGAGTTGTGGAACTGGATTTAGGCAACTCCACTCCAGACCTAACTCCTGGAGCTAAATTTTGGAGCTGTAGTTGTACCATATTGGTGGTGGAGGGGGTGCAAAACTAGAAAAATGTGGGTTGGAAAATGTGTAGGGCGTACATTACCAAGAAATAAGAAAAGTTGCCATTTGTTCATAAGTGAATGCGAATATATGGAATATGTGATTTCATCATTTGTTCGTGGATTATCGGCCAAAGCCAAACGCGGTTCTCCTTGAGAGTTGATTTTAGGGGGCATTTTTTTTATTGAGGTCTATTTTTCAATCTTGGTTTTTAAACCACTTAATATATATATAAAATATTATACCTATGAATTATTCTGGGTTGTCGCTCAAACAATCAGAGCGCGCGATTTTTAGCATCATGGTATGAAATGGACTATTGTGCACAATTGGGCTAACTTTGTGAGTGATGTGCTTGTTTTTCAATCAAGTTGCTTGACATATATAAATATATTATCAATGTTCTTTATAGTATATCATTAATAAAGGTTAATTAGATAAATATGTTATCCCACTACTATATCACTAAGAATAGTCCTGTTCGATGTGTACACTAAAATACAAGAAATAAGCCATTACAAAAAAATCTTTAAGCAGTTGTATCAAATAATATTATTTAACATATGCCACTCAATACCATAACAAAAGACTATTTATGAGAATAGGCCGGTCGCTACAGAGCAAGCCGACTTCGTCCCTGTCGCTGAAATAAATTAAAGAAAACACACACAACTGTACTCCTTCATCACTCCCTCTCAGAGAAAAAAAAAACAAGATGCCGAAAAAAAAGTTGGGAGAAAATGATAAACTCCTCACTCGCCGTAGGCCGTACACTGCGGTGGCTCTCAGGGTGATGCGCGTATTGCTGCGCGCCTCCGCCTCTACGAAGGCTGGTGTCTCCTCATGCGAAACACGTGTAAAAGCACACCAGGGGAGGAAAAACAACGCGGCCCACGCCGTCGGGGAGACGAAGCGCGGAACAGTACAAGGTGTCAAAGCTTCATATACTAGATACAAGCTGCTGGCTGCTGCTACTGTACAGGCTAAGAGAACAAGATCCTACTAATCAGAAATCACAGGGCTGTCATGCAGCGCAACGCCGGTAGGTGGCGGTGGGGGGTTGGGGGGGTGGGGGGGGGCCTCTGCGAGATAGTCTCGAGCACATGGCGTGCACTAGGCTTACCCATTACGATACAGTATAGCAGGGAGAATCATCGATCGATCCGGGATAGCAGAACGAAATGGGATCGGAACCAATCGGCAGATCCTGCCGCGGCGGGGGGTCTCGATTCGGCCGCGGCTGGGTTTTGATCGTAACTAACAAACTAACAACAGGAGGAGGCGGGGGGAGGGAGGGGGATGGAATCAGAGAGCGAACCTGGAGGAGGAGTACTCGTAGAGCTTGCCGACGGGGGAGAAGACGAGGAGCGCCACCTCCACGTCGCAGAGCAGGGCGAGCTCGAACGCCTTCTTGAACAGCCCCGCCCTCCTCTTGGAGAACCGCACCTGCCGGCTCGCCTTGTCCTCGATCCGCCTCAGCTGCACTCTCCCCCTCCGCGCCATCCCCGCCCCGAAAAACCCTAGCTCCCCTCCCTCTCCGCCTCTCGTCGGTGGGGGAAAACGGAGGCGTGCGTGCGTGCGTGCGTGTGTGTGGTGGTGTGGTGGTGGGGAGAAGTGGGGGAGGAGGAGGAGGGGATCGATGGAGTGGGGGGGGGGGGGGGGGGGCATTTGACGAGGCGGATGTACACCTCAGACGCCGCGTTTCCGGGGCTATTTATCGGGGGCTCCCAAGCCAAACCGTCTTTTACACCCCCGCTGATAGGTCGGTTTCCCAGTCCTTTATTTTGCTCTGCGCACGCAAGCGCAAAAGCCTCCCTCTCATGTCAGTGTTTTTGTCCTTTTCTAAAACTAGTAACGCTTCCCCTTTCCCTTATTGAGCACTCTGGGTGTCCGTAGGGAGATGCTTTCTCCCAGCTAAACACACATCTACACTACCACCACAAATGTCGGTTTAAACTAGCAATGGTAGCTAGCAGTAGTAAAACGTTGGCATCATTTCGGTGTCATACTAGTACTTTTTTCTGTTTACGCAAGTTGGTCTTTTGGCAACAATTGCTAAATTTTATAGTGGTAAATAATTAATTTGCTAAGAGCACTCTGGGACTCTGGGTGTTCATGGACTGCCTCTGACTCTCATAATTATTTTCTCAAGTACTTCAGTTTTATTATTGCTTGAAAAAGGAAAAGTATGCGAATTACTCCTCCGTCTTAAAATAAATTCATTTTTCACCTATTCCACACATACCAATACAAAACCATAATTACTAGAATACCCCCCCCCCAAAAAAAATGTATCAAATCCCCAAAGCAACTATTTTTTCTATTTCATCTACTCTCAATATAATTATTTCATACTTTCATAAACTCGGATGCAATAATTACTTTAAAAATAAATTTATTTTAGGACAAATAAAAGAAGCTAAAAATAAACTTATTATAGAACACAGGGAGTACGTATATCATACTCCTCCGCCCAAAACATAATAACTTGACACGTCTAGATTTATACCACTAGGATATGTCCCTCACTATCCTGTGTTGTTATATTTTACTTTTTTTGTTTTATATTATAAGTTATTTTAATTTTTTTAATTAAATTTATTTAAGTTTGTTTTATAGAAATATATAGTTTGAATGGCATGGCAGGTCAAATGAAAAATCAAATTCTAAAATTAGAGAAGAGCATTACCCTTAAATTGCTCCGTTTGCACATCAGCAGATGGCAACTTGCACAGGTCGGTTCCCCAACTTTTTCCCCCCCAACTTAGGAATAAATGCTTTGCGCACACCATGCAAACGATTCGCTCTCATGTTAATGTTTTGTCCCTTTCTAAAACTAGTAACGCTTGCTCTTTCCCTTATGAGAAATTTGGGTGCGCATAAAAGTAGTATTATATTTACAAATAAACAGATATCATACCTTTAGTTTGATGAAAAGGACGCATTCATGTGCATATGTGTCGATTTAAAATTGTAAATGTCAGTGGCATTTGAAAGACTTAAAAGATATTGAAACAAGTTACTAAAAAATGTTTGTGTTTGTGATTTTTAACGATCCACATTAGAATTAGGCTTTTTTTTCTATTTCCCTCATTCCAGATCTATGCACATCTAATTTTCTTTTACCCGAAACTTCTTCCCGCCAACAATCATAGCTGATTTTTCATACTCTTACCGTTTGCATTTATTTGGCAATCTTGAGTTTTATTACTTCGATTTTAACTACAGATAATTTTAAAAATGGCTGGCTACAATTACCAAAAGTAATTTTAAAATGGTTGGATGCAATTAACGAAAGTATTTTAGTTATGTTTAGCATGTAACCAAATTTGATAATACGGTACTTTTTTTAATACTTATATTTTGTTTCAAAAAGAGACAAGCTGTGCACCAGCATAATTTTTTTTAGTACTCCGTGCTTGGTTGATTACCTAAAGTGGATATTATTAGAATTTATTTTAATAAGATAAAGAGACACATGCACTTGAAACGTCTCTTTCAGTAACATTTGCAGTGATATGTATACATGCATGGCTAAAGCAGACAATTTTCGTCTTTTCTTAAATTTTTATCACCGTGCTATGAGTAAATTTTTTTAGAGTAAATTTAATTTGGGCTAGTTTTTATTGCCGGTGTTTTCCTTTCAACAACCCTTTAATCAGTGTTTTTATCTTGGTCCTGGTAATTTTATCTTTGTGGCACTTTGCATCACTTAACTCTTTTATCCATATGCTTTCAATTTATCATATGTAAAAAAAGAAAGATCTACATATAGCTAAGTGTGTTTATTGATAAGTATAAGCCACCGTACTTGAAGTCGTTCGTAGCTTGAGAAAATAGTTGGGATGGTTTATAGTGAAAATATTGATTTAAAGGGTGATCCAGAGTAAAAAAGGTGATCAAAATGAAATTTAGTCAAAACTTCAAGAGAGTGATTAAGATAAAGCTGTAGTACCATACTCCTACCTCTTTGTACCTTTACTAATTAAATATTACGTCACCCAAAGTTGTAGACTGATTAAGATAAAGAGGGCCGACGCTGTCCGGTCCGTGAATCTGTAAACAGTTTTATAAACCAATCAATAAGTGCCATATAATCACTCGCAGAGTAGTATAGTGCATTCTTTGTACTACGGTCAAATATTTAATTATAAATCATTGCAACTAACCAGATGGACAACCTATCAGTAATCACGAACAGTTTAATGCATCAGAGCGACTATCTTAATGGTGGGTTGTTCTCCAATTTGTCCATCACAACAGTTTAGAATTCCAACTCTAGTCAGGCAGGAACAGTATAGTACTCGTCTAATTTAAAATATTTGACCGTAGTTTGGAAATAGTGGGCCCAGAATTCGCTGTAGCTGTGTACACGTAACAAAAGTAAAGAAAACACAAGGCCCGAAATGAAGAAGGCTGTGAGACCTGACCTGACCGACCCCCGCTTTGGCTCGGGGAAACTAGTAATTTTCCCGATTAGTAAAGCGCGGTGGCGTTGCTTGCACCTGTCCCTCGGAGGTTTGAGGTGGACCCTGACAAGGCGCGACGGCGGCGACGTGGACTGAACGGCCTGGACGCGTGTCATCACCCCACCGCTCCTCTCCTCTCACCTCCCCGCGTTTCAAACCTTGTCAGGCGTGGGCCCCACACCCGACGTGTGCAACCTCGTCCACAACCTCCGGGTACACGTCCCGCTTCCGCTTTAAAAAATTAGTTTCTTCAATCCTTTTGGGGGCATGGTGGAGTATATGTGGTGCGGCGGCGACGAACGGACCAAGCTCGGGTCGGGCGGTGTGGGGCCCGCGGATCAGCTTGCGTGGTGGGGGTGGGCTCCAGCTAGGACGCCGCGCCTTTGGTGCAAAATATCTCCGCCTGCCGCTCCGGCCAAAGGCCGCGAGAGATAAGCTCTCTCTTTCTTTATCTTTCTTCCGTATGGAGAGATAAGCATTGCTAGTGCTACTGATACTGCGGGTAGTAAGGTCTCATCGGTTGACGGTTGTCCATAGTCTCATTTTAAACCGTCACGGTTTTATTAATAACAAAAAGTAATTTGGGTATAAAAATATTATAGCGACTTCAAAACTAATGTTAGATAAACAGTGCGGTCAAAATATCTTAAAATGAACTTCCAGATTAGATTTTAAAATTTAAATTTGAGTAAAGTGCAAGGGCGGTCTCTAAACTTGTTTGTGTGGGTGTCACCTAGGTCCCTACACTCTCAAAATGAATTTTTGGGTCCCTCAACTTGTCTCGAGTATCGTATAGGTCTAAACGGGTTTCAACCCGCTCAATGTGCTGATGTGACATGCCATAGTGACGCCTACGTGTCAATAGAACCCATGTACCAGCACATATAGAAAAAATTAAGAACATTTTTTTTCTCCTCTCTTTTTTCATTTGTTTTTTCAAAATTAAAAACATCATTATCTCCTCTCTCTCTCCCCTCTCTACTTTTAAATTTTATTTTTTCTATATGACTGACATGTGGATCTCACTAATATGTAAGCGTCACCGTGGCATGCCACGTCATCTCACGGAGTAGGTTGGAGCCCGTTTGGATTTATATGACACTCATAACAAGTTAGGGATCTAAAAATACATTTTAAGAGTTTATGGATATAGATGACATATTCATACAAATTTAAGTACCGCCCGTACACTTTACTCTTAAATTTTAACTTTGCTTTTAGCTTTTTTGGGATAACTGATGGAGCTCGTAGTACTACAGGAGTGCTACTACTCCTAGCTTAGATGCATCTCTTTCTTCCGCATGGAGAGATAAGCATCGCTACCGCTATTCCTACTCCTCCTACTGCAACAGCAGGGACTCATCGGTGGTCCATAATCTTATTTTAAATCTTAACGACTTATTAATGATAAAAAATAATTTATTTAACTTTTATATGTATGTTCACACCGACTTAAAAACTAATGCTGAAAAAATACGTTTAAAATATCCTAAAATCTATTTTAAAATTAAATTTTAAAATTTAAATTTTGGTTTTGATTTTAGCATTTTAGGGTAACCGATAGGCGGTGGGGTTCGTAGTACTACTCCTAGCTCGAGATGCATCTCTCCTGGCCCCCTTTTGGAAATGACGCTGCTTTTGTTGCTCCTCTAGTACTTTGCGGCTGTACGAAACGATTCCCAGCTGCAGTAGTGTTTTTTTTTTCACACCAAAACTTTACGGTAATCAGTAATCACAAAAGCAAAGCTCGAACCGCCATTGAGCAAGTTGCAGTGTAGACGACCACTTTGTTACAGGAAGACGTACAATTATTATTCCTACCCACGTAAAGATGTATGCATCCGATGCTACTAACGTACAGGTACAGTACAATACTGGAGTACCCTTTTTTGTACATCATTTTTTTTTGGGTGTTGAGACAAAACCTTTTTGTCGCAGCGTGTGTACCAGCAACAAATGGGCCTACGCAGGCTCGGCCCATACTTCTCCCCCACCAAGCCCAAGCGCCCCCACCGGAAAGGAATGACAGCTCAGCCCGGCCCATTCTGCAACCGACGACGAACCGACTTTTATTCTCTTGTGGGCCATCGGCCCGGTAGCAGTTTACGCGGGCCCATCAGATGGCTCTCGCGTCCCAAACAGCAGCAGCAACCAGCAAGGCGGATTCGGCGAGCCGCCGGCGACGATGCCTTCGCGGCGGCCGGAGAAGCTGTATGCGCCCGCGACGTCGCCGGAGCGACCGACCGCCGAGGTTCCCACCGCCGCGGATCCCGCCGGAGAGCACCAAAGGTTCATCGCCACAACCATCCTCACCATATTGGCATATTCCTCTTCCCTTTTCCCTATTTTATTTTTACATCCAATTCCTCTTTTGTGGAACAATCGATCCTAACATCGAATGAATGCGCGGTTCATCTTAGTAATTGATTAGGATAAATCCAGAGGCATAGAGGAACCTCCTACGAAGTAGCTACTAGATCGGCTTCATGGCAGCAGTAATCTGATGCGGCCGGTGCTTGCTTAGTCATCCGATTCTGATAAGAGATTCTTCAGTGAGTCAGTCACCCGGCCGGCCACCCAAAGCATCTGCAAAAGTACCCGATTGGCCAATTTCCACCAAGAGAGCTGCTACAAAACGGGATCCCGTTGCAACGGGATAGATATATTAACTATTCTCTTGCACGAGTATGATAGGTATCAGGTCCTAGGTATCACAACGGGATAGACATATTAACTATTCTCTTGCACGAGTATTATAGGTATCAGGTCCTAAATATCACATGTACCGGGTAACATGTATCATAGGTATCGGGTACCATGCAACTGGTACCACAACAGGTATCAGGTATCAGGTACTGTCTCTCATAGAAGGGTATCCCGTTAATGGGATACCGTTGTCTAGGTTTTAGGTTTTCTGTACCACCAAATTATTTAGCAAAAGTAACTGCACTTTCCCTGCATCTGCGTCCATGCTTCAATCGGTCAAGTCGTCACGGAACATCCCAGAAAGAAAGGAGAGATCAGACGCGGAGATGGTTGGAAGAGATAGTTTCAGAGTGGATGTAAGCGAAGCTCGATCGATTCTGACCTGGCCAGTGTTAGCTGAATTTGCCGCATCATCGTCCAGCACAGGCGATCGAATCCGGCACCCAGTGGCTGTTACTTGCTAGCGATTGATTTGGTTGCATCGATCTGATATTTTTGTTTGCACACATCACACATCTGTTTGTGCGATTGATTTGGTTGCACCGATCTGATATTTTTGTTTCCACACATCACACATCTGTTTGTTTTGGACATATGTGCAAGTGTGCAGCTAGTGGTTGCTTCTGTTCATCCATAGGCTTCTCTTTTCATATGCTACTATAATACAGTACTCCATATTTCCGTCAGAAATGAGAAAATATCAAAGGAGAAGAGACCATGCATTGGCTGCTCAAAAGTGGAAAACTACATCTGCCAATTTGCCAAAGCAACTTTTATGTGGCCAGATCCTTCTGGCTCTTTTATCTGTTCTTCTCTTGAGACTCTCAAGAATTGGAGGTTGATCACCTGGGCCCTTGGAAATCTGATGCTGTCACTTGTACAGGAGGAGATCTCTACACACAAACCTACAGCATACAGGTGAAGGAAGAGCGATGGGTACTTCGCAAGCAGATAGAGAGGAATCTGTCGAACAATCTCCTTTTAAATTTGCAGCAAAGGCACAGGAATAGAATATCCAAAGGGAATCCTTTATGATCTGGAAAAGATCAAAAGAGCTGGAAAAAGTGAGCCAAAGAACCAAACCTTGCAATGGAGGTGCACACCTGGATATTTGCAACAGTATATCTGAAGATTTGTGATGCTCCATTGCTGAAACTACAGGACCTCTCTGAGCTCTTCTGCCACTCACTTGTCAATGGGCCCTTCGTAGCATACTGGGCTCACTTGTCAGTGACTGTCCTTAGGCGCATCATGCGTTCAGCCCTGCACAACAGCTGATGGATGATTCTTCTTCTGGTCGGATGCATGTTATCCATTGGCATCAGAAATAATTCTTCTTGTTTACATGCAATGTTATCCGTTGGCATCACAGAGAATTTCTTCTTGCTCCATGCATGTTATCTACTGGCACCACAAAGAAGCAGAGATGTGACCTCCAGAGTCTACTCTGATCATCTCATTCACAGAGTTTGCCACACACCCAACCTGCATATATATATAGGGGTTATCTCCTCCTGCATTTCACAGCAACCACAGCCAAAGCAAATCTTTGAGCAAGCTAGGCAAAACTTAGACCCCAAAAGAAAAAAATGGAGGCAAATCTCAAGAACAGTGCTAGAGGAGGGGCCAAGGGGAAGGTGGTGACAGTATACTCCAAGTATGTCAAACCCCAGAGCAGCCCTTCTGTAAGTGTCACACAGGCCTACTCCTACCAGCCAAACTACTCTTCCTCCATTGATGTAGCTGCAGCTGCAAACGGCTCCTATGGTGGCGGCAACGTCGACGAGAGGGCGACGGCTTACATCTTGGCCGTCAGAGAGCGTTTCAAGAAAGAATGGATGTAGGAAGATTGTGTCAGGATCCATTCCAGAAGAGGTTTATATTTGCAAGAATGTCTTCTGGGTAGCCATGCCTATGCTTGCATGGATGTAGGTAGTAGCTCCTTACTATGTCATGCTTTCCCATGTTCTTCCTTCTCTTTTTCTGTCAAACTACAGTTTGATTGGATGAGTGTAAGGGATGAATAACAGCTTCTGTTTCTGAAACCTGGTTGTCGTTTTGACTCTCCAGAATATTTACCTTGCTGGTTTGAAGAGCTATTTTAAGTAGAATCCGAGCTTAAGAAAAAACCTATGGTTTGAGAGCATGACAAATATGACTATGTATTCTCGATCATGCCTTGAGCATGAAGGGGAGCATAATATGAAAATAGCTAACACAAATTGGAGGAATTTTGTTGACATAAACATCCAAATAGCGGAAATTCGTACGTTCTCTGTCACATATTCTTCACCTATGTAGCTTTGTTTTTTCTGTCCCTTTTAAAGAATACCACTTTACAGAAACCGATACAATTGCTTTTCTGAATGATCTGTTTCTTTTCACTTCAAATAATGCAACTTTAAAGCATGAAATTACGCCTCTGCTAAAGATCAGCAATTTCCCATGCATGTTTCTTCTGTGTTTTTTTTTTATAAAAAAAATATCAAGAACCAACCAGTTTGCACTGGAAGTTAGTATATAACTTTTTTTTTCCTGTAGCATCTCAGTACTTGATCTTGATCTTTGCTTCCACTGAGCTGTCCTCCTTGACTTCTTTAGCCAACGAGGGTTAAACATCAAATAAAAAACAACCAATTGTATTATAGAAAGCATAGTCATCTGAATTCAGAACTTGTCCTCCTAGTTAATATCGCTAAAAAAACAGAAAACTTGATCTCCTAGAATAACGGCTACAGAAGTGGTCCAAAACCTTAATTTAGTCACTGTCTTTCAACAAGATCTCTGTTGATGAACAGCATGTGAAAAGCAAGCAGCTCCACACGTCATCATTTCATCTTGGCATATGCCACAAATGCAATGATTTTGTTTTCAAGAATACACAGGAACATGTGTAATGCAGTAATTTTGTACTAGCATCTTCTCTCTCTTATTTTCAGAAATACCAGTACATATAAACCACAGTTCTCCTCCATGGCATCTTTTCAGCTAGCTAGAGAAAAGTCTTAGCTCAAGAGGGGTGAACATCAAACAAGGAAGCTAGAAGGGCAGACAAGCAACAGAAAGAAGACCTATCTGAAATCTGAAACTTGTGTTCCTAGAACAACGGCACCAGAAGTGGTCCAAAACCCTTAATTTAGTCCCTGTCTTCCAACAAGGTCTCTGTTGATGTACAGCATGTGAAAAACAAGCAGAGCCACACGATTAGAAATAATCAGTAATCCTCCAGCTTTTGAGGCTAATTTGACTATTCAAGTACAGTTAACTTATGTCTAGTTCCTGCTGAACTAGCCCCTACACCAATCAAGTGGATAGCCAAATGTACACACAACAAAAGCTGTACCACTACAGTACAAGTCAATAACCCTCCAAAAATAATAGCACTAGTTCTAATAATGCAATTGTGAATCATAAGCTGGCTTGGGGGTATTTCCCATAAACTGGAAATACCAGGCAAAGTTGGAAAATGTGCATATCGTGGTGAATATTTTTCAGTATCACCAAGATAATACAACTATTATCACTGACATATTTTGTTGAACAACATTACCATCTCCCTAGCATCTGATCTATCAGGAATTCAGCTCAAGAACAGGGCCTCGCTGAGATCGAAATCGGAACCCGGAATCTCCACTACCACGATGAGAAAGGAAGAGCCTGGATTGCAGCATCGGAGCTACCCTGATCGGCGCTGACATGGTGGTGGTAGTAGCCATGGTATTGCAGCTGTGCACTTGTGGTAGTAGGAGTAGTAGCAGTAGTAGCAGTGGTAGTGGCAGATTTTGCCAAGATGGACGTGTCCTTGCCGGCCATTCTGACGTAGGACAGGCCGGTGAGCGACACGTCGCCGCCGCCGCCGCCGCCGTACTGCCCGCCGCCGGCGAAGAGAGGCTGTGGGATGGTGATCTGCGCCGTGGGTGTGGGGTTGTCTGACAGAAGAGAGAGAGCACAGTTGTCCAGACCCCCGTCGTGGGCGAACATCTTGCCGTTGCTGTGCCGGCTGCTGCTGCTGCTCCTGCTCTCCGAGGAAGGCGTGATGGTGAACGGCTGGCACCCGAACAACGGCGACGCCGCGGCGGCGCCGCCGCCGTGGTCGGCCGTCAGGAAAGGGAAGTGGTGCTTCCTCGCCTTGTTGCCGCCGTGGTGGAAGATGGAGGCGGCCGCGGCGGCGCCGGCGCCGTTGAGGTGGAGGGCGTGGTAGTACGGCTCTTGGAACACGTCGGCGGCCTCCGTCTTGACCACGTTCGCCGGCCACTTCGTCTCCTGCGGCGACATGGACGCCGCCGTCGAGAAGATCTGCGGGTACGAGGTGAATCTTGCCGCTCCTGCACACAGAAAGCGATGGATACCAACAGTGAGGCCGACGTCTCATGAGCCAAAACATTGTCACTCAACTATTTGCGTTTCTTGGCAGAATTCAGGTACAGCTCCTGTTCTTGGAAGATATTCTCTGATGATAAATTTGTTACTGCTAACGTCCAACGCTATGATATGATTTATTTTTATAATATTGTTTTTCAGATATGCAGCGGCGAGTCAATGCTCTAGTTTATGAACGATTCCTCAGGGAATTGTTGAAAATGACCTGTCCTAGATGATCCAAGATGCAAGGTCCAAAAACTACGGTGGATTTTCCATGATGACATGATATATCACACGACTCCAATTCAGGTCAACTTTGCGCTTTCAGACAGCTACAGTAGTTTTACTTGTATCATGTAATGCAAACGTTTACTACTGCCAGTCAACTGGGAGGAGATAAGAAATGTCAGGTTTAGTAGGTCGCACTAAAATAGTTCGATCAAACCGAACGGGGATGAAAAATGTCAAAATTTTCTGCTTCGCTTTCAAGTGCTATTTCAGCTGTCAGCTATGAAAACGAAAACTTTATTCACGTCCTTTCCAAACTGTAGGCTGATGCATGCGGCTTGCCAATTATGGAGAGCTTTTCTACGGTCCCTCAGGTACAGTATCAGTGTATCATACTGTATTTTTCTAACTTAATTCATATTACACCTTAATCTTAGGAGATATCACAAATAGTATTACTACTTAACGACAGTAAAAAAAAAGGATTGTTGTGGATAATTTTCGTGCTGTCAAGAACAGAACAATCTCAAGAACATATGGTTTGCAATTGCATACCGTGGTGATTGGCGAAAAGGTTGCCGGGGTTGAGAGGATCAGGCTGCGGCTTCCGACGCCGCTTGTTGTGCCCGTCGAGCCGCTTCCTGCAGCTCCTCTTCTCCTCATCGAACTCCCCGAGCAAATGAAACCTGTCAAAGAAAACAACAACATCAAACAATCAATTCATCCATCCGGTCACAGGGGCTTCCCTGAATCTCTGAATCTGAATCCATTGTTATGTACTTATGTGTGATGCAAATCTCAAATGAATGATCATTCAGAAGTATCCAAATGAGAGCTAGATCTACTGGTTGGTGCTAGTAATTGCCGGAGTGAAACTGTGAAAGAATTAAGCTGAGCATATGGATGGGACTGGAATATCGTTTGTCGTGGCCAGGTGAGCATCTGGAACGAGGAGCAGCAGCAGCAGCAGATGCAGGGTGGAAGGTGCCAAAATCGTTGGTGTTGCGCGAGTGAGCCACGAATGCGACCGGGAAAAGCATTGGCATGGCCCTGCAAGTAGTGCCAGTTCCATTGTATCTTGCCTATTCTGCTGCTGCTGCCATGGTGGTGCGCTGCTGCGTCGTCGTGGGGACAGAAAGACAGTGTCCCTCCCGAGGAAGAAGAGGAAGCACGGGTGGCCAATGCAAATGCTTTGTCTGGTTCAGATTCTTCAGGCTCCAGGGACCAGATCACCACCCAGAAATCAAAATTGATCTCCACCAAAGGTTAGTTGGTCATTCTAGCCTAATCAAAAACTCGAGTTTTTTTTTAACCAAAAACATTGAACTTTGAGTTGCTATGTCTAAATAAGTTAGTTTCTCTTTTTTTTTTCAAAAGGAATTGAACTTTGAGTTGCTCTGTTTGGATAGGCTAGCTGGTGATTCTAGCCTAATTAAACTTCATAGTTTTTTTTAAAAAATAAAAAGGATAAGAATTGAACTTTGAGTTGCTCTGTTTGTATAAAGATTCAAGTATTCAACCTTTGGGGCTGCGTACGTAAAAGGATTGAACTGGTCTGAAATTCTGAATTACTGTGGGGTTGGAAACAGATGGATACCAGAAGTTTCGGGGTGTGGTGGTGGCTGCACGTCGGCTTGTTAATTGCAAACGCCAAAAAAGCGTCATGATAGCAAACGGACAGAAACTAAAACAGCGCCAAAAATCAAATCCACCCGTAATAACCACACAAAAAAAATTTACACCAACTAAATCTGCATGCAAATTCTCGTTTTCTGAAAAGGAAATGAAACATGTATATTTTGTTTTTCAAAGAAATGAAATGGAAATTGAGGAGGAAGTAGAGAAATGCATGGGGGTGACGTCACGTACCTGCTGCACTGTTGGCAGAAGCGCTGCTGCTGGCCGGCGACGGTGACGACGGCCGTCTTGGAGTGCGCCTCGCACACCTTGTGCCGCCGGTGGTAGTCGCGGACGCACTTGGACAGGTCGGCGGCGCACCCCTCCACCGAGCACGCCGGCACCGCCGCCTGCTGCCCCTGCCCCGCCCGCGCCCGCTTCCCCGCCGCCGCCGCGGAAGACGACGACGACGCCGGCGGCGGCGGCGGTGGCGCCACCGCCGCCGGAGCAGCCGACGCAGCAGACACCGTCGTCGTCGTCTTCCAGCTCGTCGGCGCGCCGAGCTTGAGGTCAAGCGCGCCGCCTCCTCCTCCGCCACCGCCACCGCCACCGCTCGGGCCGACCACCGTGCCGAGGTCCCAGGAAGGCATCTTGGCGTCCCAATCCATGGCGAAAAAAAGATCGAGCAACGAAACGTAAGTACTATCACGAGATCTCTTGTTATCCTCTCGATCTTGCTGCTGCTGATGCCTCTATCTGTTCTTGAGCTGAGCTTTTGCGCTCGTACAGCAGCAGCTGAAGCTCAGCTCCTCGTCTCACCACAAAAAGGAGTGTTGATTGGAAGCAAAAGCTCACAGATGACAGGGAAGAAAAGGAGAAGAGATCACAGCAGCAGCAGCTGCATGCAATTAAGAGTCCAAGAACAGGTGAGGCCAACCACCTCTCCTCTCCTCTCTTCTCCCAGCAGCTGCAGTTTAATGCAAGAAGAAGATGAATGGATGGATGGAGGTAGGAAGCTGCAGCTAGCTAGCAGCAACCCCAATAAAGACCAGCCTTGGAGATGAGATGAGATGAGAGGAGAGGAGAGGGGAGACACAGTGGTTGCAGGCACAGGGGGGAGCTGGACTCCTATTGGAGGACTACAAACTCCAAAGGTGGCAATAATTGCCAAGAAGAGGAGAGGGGGGGTCACCCCTCTGCTACACTGTTCACTCACTTTAATTGCCAATGCCTCAAGACATAGAGAGACAAGTGTGTGGTAGGAGAGAGTAGGTGGGAAGGAGAGAAACAAAACCACCACGACTACACCATTACCATGGACCAAGGAAGAAGAAGAGGATGCAGAAGAAGAAGAAGAAAAGAGTTGCAAACCAAAACCAATCAAGAACAAGAGGATTCCCTCTCCTTTGGAGAGCTAGTAGCTGCAGCTGCTGCCTTCACTCTCTCTTCTAGCCTTTGCCTCTTTGGGTGTTGGATTGTTCCTTTTAGGGTGGAAGCTGTAGTATTCTGTAGTACCAAGGAAAGAGAAGAGGATGAGGAGGAGCTGCACTACTTCACTTGAAATAACAGGACATGTGAGGGCTGAGAAGGACTAAGTGCAGGGATTGCCTCCCCCCCCCCCCCCTCCCTTCACCTTTTGTAGGGGGGGTGCAGTGTGGAGGCAAGAGAGATGAGAGCAAAAAAAAAAAAGTACAAAAGTTAGGAAAGGGATGGATGCATGGAGAGGAAAGGAAAGGAAAGAAAGAAAGAAAGAAATGAGAGGAGGAAGTGCTGCTGTGCTGCCTGCTAGCTACTGGTGGTGCTTGCTGGAGGAGAGAGAGGCTTTTCTGTGTGTTGCTGGAGGAGAGAGGGCTTTTCTGTGTGTTCTTTTGCTGTGTTGGTGTTGCCTCATCTCAGCTGACATGATATTCACAAATCATATATAAAAACCCCCCATGTAATCATCCACTCCCCTCATCATTATTGCTTGTTGCACTTCTAGATGAACACCCAAGTTCACATCCTGAAATGCACTACTAGGTGGTACTAGCCTTTTGTACCCCCTCAGATGGTTTTTTATTAGACTAGACGGTTTTAGAACATACATGTACTTCTACGCGTGATTTATAGAATCGGACTTAAGCAAGACTAAATAGTTTTAAGTTTTACGTAGCAGACAAATAATTATCGGGAAAGACGACGACAATGAAAACAATGCAGGAAATCGCAATAAGATACTAGTAGTATTAAGATATTTATGTGAAAGTAATTTATTGTAATTTTAGCTTCTCAACGATAAAAGTACACCGTCTATGACTAAAATACGCACCTAACGAATCAGCTTCCATGGAATTAGAACAAACTAATAATTTATTCGCAACTTGACGACAACTTTTTTATACAAGTATTATCAGAAGTATTATTAAAATTATAAAGTTCTGGCTTAGGGGTTAGGTTTTCTTTTTTCTGAGCATATGAATGTGCTGTGTGCCCATGATGTGGTCCCTCTAGCAAAGGTATTTTCCCCAAACCTTGTGCATTGTTATGCTCCTGATGAGATTATTTAGCACAATGGCCAATGAAGCTATGTGAGGTCCAAGTTCCAACTCTTAATTAACGAGCTAGTATTCCTAGTTCTCACACGTTGACCAATGGTCAAGAAGGCATATGGTTACTTCTGAATAAAAGAAAAAAAAAACATGTGTCATTGCTTCATCAGTATCTAGAATTACCTTTTCTTTACTGCCACCTTGTTGACAAGATGGCAAGAGAAGTCTTGAATCGATCGGAGAGCTGGATGTGGGTCAAAGCTATGGTCATATACGAGATTAATTGAGTAGTAGTTCCATGAGTAAAATAAAAATGGAATAGTTTCAGTCTTGTTAGTAATGTTTTATTTTCTTCAAGGTAATTATGCAATGAGACTTTGATTTATATTCCTTGGAACGTAGTATACCCACCTGACAAGCTACATTAAGGGAATTCAAGTTGTATCCCTGATCCTGAATTATGGGGAAAAAGCATGGTCTGTATTACTTCTATTATGAAAGAAAATCAGTTTTCAAATGAAAACAGAACCCTTTTAAAACGAAGGGTGTGTTTAGTTCACATAAAAATTAAAATTTTAATTGAAATTGGAACGATGTGACAGAAAAGTTGAAAGTTTGTGTGTGTAGGAAAGTTTTGATGTGATGGAAAAGTTAGAAGTTTGAAGAAAAAGTTAGAAACTAAACTAGGTCCAAGTTGAAAACGTTTGCAAGGGGTCTGCTGAATGCTGAGAAAGCTAAGCTATACAATTCAACATTTGGGGTTTCTTTGGGGGAGTTTTTGTCCGCTACAATTTAGTTTAACTTTTTGTCTAGACTAAGAATTATAGTTGCAGAATCTAAAAATACGAACAAACAAAAATAAATAGGTCCTGTTTGGGCAGCTTAAGTCAAAGCTGTTGTTTGGTAACCAACTTCTAATTTATTTTCCTGCATTCTAGTATAACTATATCTTCCTACAATATAAATTAAAAACTAAATTATTTTAAAAAACTTTTACTAGTTCGAAAGAAACTAGAGCTGAATTCTGACCGATACTTCTCATAATTAAAGCTCCTTCAAACTGGCCGTTGAGATCGCAACATTGCAACATTGCAGGAAGGCCAACACAGTGCACGCACTTTGTAGTTTATACACTTGTACTACGGTCCTACTGGCACGCAGATCCAAACTGCTACAGTTTAGCCATGCATCAGCGCACAGTACATATATGTCAGGGATGTACTACGTACTACACCATCTTGTACCCCCCCCATTGCACTCCTTGCGATTATTTATGAGGGAAAAAAACAAAAAACAAGTTGACACTTTCAAATTTGCAATTCATGCTGCCTCCAAGTTTCATTGAAACTGTCCAGTTTAAACTTTAGAATGGTTCCCTGATGACTTATTTTTAGGATATATAAACCCTTTTGGCTACACTATAAAATGGCTATAAGTCTACTTACCATGGCACAAAGGGTGGCCTCACCAAAACATTTATAAATAAATGCAATATTGTCCCTAAAAAAACTATGGAGCCGATTATTCTTAAAATAATTTAAAAATGTTTAAAATAAATAATATTTGCGCAGCTGACTTTAGATATTGAAAAAAAAAAATCAGTTTGTAACTCCGACAATTTAAAAGACCAACAATTCTCAGCTATAAAAAGAACTCGCATGAATTTTACAAGAATTTCATATAAAGCGGTTCATTCCCGCGAAAATCATAAAACATTCCACCATGAAAGATTAAACACATCATAATAACAAGAAATGCAGAATTATTAATAAGTGGCATCTCATATCATACTGTTAATCAGCACAAGCTTTTCACGTTTATTACTAGTATAGTAGGACATGGGTACTTACAAAACATATACTGTAACACAAATGTGACCTTATACCAAGTAATACTACACGTTTTTTTGCAACAAAAAAGTGTATAGTAATCTCATGAGAATTGGCTGGCCGGTTGGGCCTGCAGGTTGCATGATACTCCTGACAAAAAAAAAAAAAACGAGTTGTGCCTGTGTCAGCTGTCCCCTCTCAATCTAGCCATAGATTGGTCCAAGTCAGCAAAAGCCTCCTCCATCTCCATCTCAAATACTATCTCACCACACACCATGATGCATGCATTGGTCATGGTCGAAGGGTTAAAAAAACTCAAAAAAAAAAAAAGAAGAAAGGAGAGAATATGCTTTGCCCCTATCTTGCCTTTTCTGCCAATCTGCATTAGTGTTGGAGAAATTGACGTAAAATATTCCGGTTTTATTTGGCAGTCCATGAACTACAGTAAAACATGACAGAAAGTCTTGTTTTCTTATTTCTCAAGGTAGGAAAAAATCCAGCTGATTGCTACAGTACGTGGCACACTGTACTCAAGGATGGCGATCTGATGTTTCTTAGAAATTGGGTCAACTCATTGATTGATTGATTAACCAGGGTTACACATCTACAGATGCTGTGTTTGATTTAATTTGTAGTACTGTTTGCAGCATGGTTACTCTTTGGAGTAATTAGCAGTGGCTTTTACGGCTTACTTCCCCGTCAAAAAAAAAAGTAACCAGTACATGTAACGGCGAATCTGAATACAGAGTACGTCTAAATATTGTTTTAGGATATTTTAGGTGGTGTTTGGATTCAGGGACTAAACTTTAGTCCCTATCATATCGGATGAATTTGAAATATTAAATATAAACTACTTATAAAACTAATTACATAAATGAGAGCTAATTCGCGTGAAATTTTTTAAGCCTAATTAATCCATAATTAGCGCATGTTTACTGTAGCATCACATAGGCTAATCATGGATTAATTAGGCTCAATAGATTATTAGTTCAGGGTTATGGAATGGGTTTTATTAATAGTCTACATTTAATATTTATAATTAATGTCCAAATATCCGATGTGATAGTGATTAAAAAGTCTTAGACCCATCAAAACAGGGTCTTAATGCGAGGTTGGTTAGTCTTTTTTACACGGAGGGAGTAGATATATTAGAGTAGAAAACTTTCTTTACAAATTTTCTTTAGTTCCCGGGCTAAGTCCCCCATCAGCTACAGAGGCCAGAGAATTGAGAGGAGATGCGTCGCATCTGGCGTGGTTCAGTTGCTTACATACTCATGTTTTTTGTGGTTATTATCAGCTTGTTGACGTCGAACGGGCGAACGGCTGCTGGCTTTCTTGCTTCTAGAAGCTTTGAACACATCTCAATTATTATTATTATTATTATTATTATTGAAAAACACACGGTACAAAGCACTCCCTCCGTCCGAAAATAAGTGTAGTTTTACACTATTTATATTCAACGTTTGACCATTCGACTTATTTGAAAAAAAATTATAATTAGTATTTTTATTTTTATTACATGAAAAAAACATAGATAGTACTTTTAAGTGTAACTAATTTTTTAATTTTTTTCATAAACTTTTCAAATAAGACGGACGATCAAACGTTGGATATGTATACATACGGCTGTACTTATTTTGAGACGAGGTAGTACTGGGAAACTATAAACACGAACACATCCTGTACTTATAATCTACTCCTACCATGATGATCTATAATCTACTGTACTTATATTGTAC